TCTGGACTCATTCTACGGAGCACTACAGGGTGGCTGTGAGGCTGGAATCGTTCTACGGAGCACTACAGGGTGGCTGTGAGGCTGGAATCGTTCTATGGAACACTACAGGATGGCTGTGAGGCTGGAATCGTTCTATGGAGTCCTAGAGGGTGGCTGCGAGTCAGGGTCCACATTGGGGCAGGGGGTTGGCTACGTGGCTTCTCAAGACTTGCATTTCAGTGACAGACGGTTAGAGCTTCCGTGAGGCATGGTGTACAGCAGCCGGTCCCTCCATTCCGGTTTCACAAGCCGCTGCACTTCTTCCATGGATCAAACTGCCCTATTGTAAGGTCATTTTTTTTAAACAGAAAGATTGTCTTCATAGAAGTCTGGGTGTTCCACAAGCAACTAATAAAACCAGAAACCCAATCCTGTGCCACCGAGCTCATCCTGACTCACCGCAACCCGACGCGGGGTTTCAGGGACTACGGATCTTTACGGGAGTAGAACACCCACACCTTTCTCCCGGGGAGTGGCTGGGGCGTTCCAACTGTGAACGTCACATTTAGAAGCCTAACACCTACCCCACCACCCCACCAGGACTTCTAACATATGTACCTCAGCAGTATGCAAAGCACCCAACCACCCAACCCGGGGTTTATGTCTTTTACACGTGGTTCTGATGCCTTCATTCTGGATCCGCAAAGAGGAAAAATCGAATGTCCTATTTAAAAATATTTCTATTTGTGTTACAGGGGAGAATATGATTACATGTCCTATCTAGATGAAATTCACCAAATGGAAACTTTCTGCTGCTGAAGTAGTTCTAGCTCCTATTATTTGTAAGTAAGCCTAACTCTACCCCATGTATACAAGAAGACACAGGGAGCCTACAGGCTGTGGCGTACCTCTCCTTCCAGAATTTCAGTGGCCACATCCTTGCCAGTTTTGGCAGGAATAAAGAGTGGTGTCGGTGGTCTGTCCAAAAATGCATCGGTTTGGCATTCCATATCAACTTCTATTATGCGGTCAGCGATTTCTTCAAGGTATAATTCTAAGAAAAAGGCCATACACGTTGAGCTTGGAATTCTGGTCTATTTCAAGCATGCATGTGTTTCTGGAACCTCAGCTCTTGTACCAGAATTAAACACATCAGAAAACTAGTCGTAGAAAGAGAGTGCTCAAATGTAAAGGCCCATCACGCGTTGAGCCAAGTGTTTTACATACCTGGAAGACCACAGAACAGCTGTTGAATGTCTAGAGAGACAGAGCTGAATAAGAGTACACAAGCAGGGCTGCATATGAGATGTTATGCACAGGAGGTGGGAGCTAGTAATGGATGACGGGGTTCTAAGATGATTGTGAATAACAATTTGAAAATTCTGGGTGGTTTTAAAACCCAGGCACCAAATCACTGTTATCTGATTCTCCCTGCACCTGGAGATTATAAGTGCACGTGACACCAAGTTTCACCCAACAATGACTCTCCTAGGGGGCAATGTGGTCTCATGCCAAGAACAGGGGGCACTGGAGTCCAAAACTGAACATAGGGCCTAGCCAAGTTATGTCCTCACTGGGCCTCCGTATCTTCAGTTGTAGAAGGGACTGTGAAGATCCGTCTCTTGGACTCTTTGTAGTTATAAAACAAAGAGCATAGGTAACGTACATGGTAGTCTGAGATGGAGGAAACATTCCCCAAAGCTGGCTGTGTTTAAGCCATTTATTACTCTCAAGGTCTAACTGTGTGGTTAGGCTTTATGTCAACTTGTACCTGGATGAAAGGGTAGTAGTGAAGTCCAACCTATCAATCAGGTCACAGCCGGTGATGTCTCCTTAGGGGCGGTGGCATTTTGGTAAGAGACACACTAGGAACCTCTCTCTCTTGCCCATTGCTTTCCTGATTGCTTGGATTCTGTGTCTGCCTCCAGGGACAGTCCCATATGGTGCCCCACCATGTCCCACCAACCTTGGATCCATGTGACTCTGCACCCACCGACCTGTGATCTCGGGGCCGCTTCCTCCTTCACCTCTCTGCTTCATCAGCTTACGGCTACGTGAGTCTGATGAAGGCTCTGGCTAGCCTTGGACCCATGGACTTGAGTTGACCGGGCTAGGCTGCCTTCCTGATAGAAGACACTGGCTTTGTTTCTCTAGACAACCCGGACTAACACAATAACATGCACAGAAACCTACTGGTTGTAACTAAACTGGTTAATCAGACATATATACAGATTCTAGACTTGGCCTCAAGGCATATCCTGCCAGGGCACCAGGGGGATCTTGAGTAGTTCATCGTCCAAGGAAAACTCTAAGTATTGTCTGCTTGCTAAGATTCTGCTGACAACACAGCTAGACCCGCGGGTCTAGGCAGGCTTCCACAGTATTCAGAACAGTCAGCCGTGTAGGACTAAGCCTGGCAGTGACCTCAGTGGAGTTGTGTGGGACCGGGGAATGTGTGCCAGAGTGGTGAAAGGCGGATAGGCTTCAGAACCCAGTGGGTGGGCGTCTTCCTCTTAACAGGCAAAGACAATGCCCCTATCAGCTAGGGCCCATTTCACACCACCCTGCCTGCCTGTAGGTCCTGATGGGAAACAGAGATTCAGGTTGGGGTGATGATCCCCCTAGTGAGAAAAGGATCCCAGTTTGTGAAGAGAATACATGACCATCCCACTCTACTGGCCACATCCAATGTGGGACTGGCAAGGGCTGGAGAACATGTGGGCTGCACAGATAGGAGAGAGAAGGACCAGGTCAAAATGAACAGTGATGCACACTGGGGACACACCTGTTTGCACGTCCACATGCTTCCTGCCTTCCACTGGCTCGGGCGTGCGAGGCCGGAACTGCTCTCGTGCGCGCTTCCTGGCCAGGGCCCTCCTCTTCGCCTGCTGCAGCCTCTGCAGTTCCAGTGGGTCCTGCTGCCCCGCCTGAGGGCCACAGAGAGGGCTTCCCGGTTAGCATACTGACCACTGTGCTGCCCATGGAGCCCCAGGGATCTTCAGAGGGAGGCTGGGGCAGGTACTGCCCGTAAGGGGTACAGAGTGCTGTATATGAGCGCCCTCTCCCTGCGCAAACAGTTTGACCATGAATTCCTCTGGTGCCTACAGAAACTAGCAGTAACATTCAGTTTTAACAAACCTTAATGTGTAGTTCAAGTGGAAAGCACTAGAATGTTTCTTTTTTTAAAATCTGAATTTAATTTGGACAGAGTTGCCTTAAAAAAGTTATTAGCTCACAAGTAAAATATCCCCAGTGCACACGAAGCCTAAGAGCACAGAACAAAACCGATGGCTGGCTGAGGGGCTGATGTCACTTCCCTGGCCGACCTAGTCTTACTGACATAGGGACACTGGGAAACACAGAGGGACAGGGAATGAGCTGGTGTAGGGTGCCCTCGATGTGGCATCGACCTTATAAACACCACAATGAAACACTGCCGGGCCCTGCGCCATTCTCCCCATTGTTAGGTTTGAGCCCCTGGTTGCAGCCACTGTGTCAACCCATCACGTTGAGTCTGCCTCGCTTCGTGCAAATGTTGTCAATATGACAACTAGAATTCTGAAAATGTTTTCATTGAAGTGGTAAAAATCACCCACAATCCCTTATCCCCAATACCGTGGCTATTGCCACCTAAATGCCATTTACGTCATAGAGTTTCTGAAGTTCTGATGGTATCACCTGTGCTCTGAACCATTTTCCTAACTTAACCCCTATAATTGTGGTTATGTGTTGGCCTGCGATCTGCATGGTTGGCAGTTCGAAACCACCAGCAGCTCCATGGAGAAAGACTGGGCTTTTACTCCCATAAACAGAGCCAGTATTGACTTGCTGGCTGTGGATTTGGTTTACTTTTTGCTGAGATAAGCACACAGTGCTAGAGTATGAGGCTGTCTAGCCAAACTTCAACAGTGACCTCAAGGTGTCAGACCGACTCAAAGTGTGCTTCTCAGCTCGGGCCATCTGTGGACTCTGGCTGCTGCTCTGTAACACGTTAAGTACAGAAATTGAGAACCAATATTTTGAAACTTTCAGACCAATTTCCCCAGTGATTTGAATTTTTGGAATTGAATAATAAAAATTGAGCCTTGTAGTATGTGGGCCCCCCCACCCCACCCCCCGCCCCATCTCCCTAGTCATTCCTTTCTAGTCATTCACTGTATTTTAGAAAGATTTTGGTCTGCAACAAACAACCCCCCACACCAGCGAAACAGCTAGCCCTTCTCCACAGGGAAGCTGTGCTGGACGGTGCCCGTTGTACTGACCAGTGGCAGCGTCTGCAGGGCATACGTGTTGCCTCGGATCACCCGTCTGTCATACATGATGTTCCCGAAACGCATAGGTTCGTCATCTCTGCAAGACAGCACCATTTCAATAATTTCTTTGAGAAGTCCCGGTGTCTGTAAACTGAACACACTTTCAGTATGATTTAGATCAGTGGTTTTCAAGCTTCCTAATGCTGCCACTCTTTAATGCAGTTCCTCATGTGGTGAACCCCCAAACATAACATTATTTTCATTGCTACTTCATCACTGTCATTTTGCTACTGTTATAAATTGGGCAACCCCTGTGAAAGGGTCGTTCAACCTCACAGGGGTCGCGACCCACATGTTGAGAACCACTGATTTTGATGAAGACGAAAATGATCTTTATTTTAGCACGATCCATCACAGGAAATGGATGGCCACCCCGTGTGGAACACTAATTACAAGCCAGGCCCTTCACACACACCCTTCTGCTCCTGGCTCACCACGCGTCTTCAAGTCAGGCACTGGGATCTCGTCTGACAGAAGAGGACAGCTGGCTCGGAGACTGGTGGGCTGAGGTCGCCTGGTGAGTGGCAGAGCTGAGAGTCGACCACCACTCTGTGGGCAACTGCATGTGTGCAAACAGCCCATCTCAAAGGGCCCTCAAGGGCTGGAAGGGTTTGCTTCAAGGACTGGAAAGTTACATTTAATAGAACAACTCTGGCTTAGCGATAGAAGTTTGGATTGCTCTTTAAAATCAAGGGTAGTTTAAAAAAGTGATTGTTTTAAATGTTTACAGAATTTTAATTTCAAGGCCCAGAATGGAATGATAGTGAAAAATATGCCCTCAGTATTTCACTCAGAAACTGTCAAATGTTTTCCTCCTTCTAGCTGAGAAACGGAAACACCGACTCGACACCAACTTTAGTCCTCCATCAGCAATGACTCTGGGAGGGCAGGGAGTTGTTTACTTCTCACTAGTGAGTGGCCTGACTCCATATTATTAAAGGCCCAGGAGGACTTCTCTCTTGTCTTGCTGGGCCTCTGTGCAGTGCCCAGCTCAGCTGACCACGCATTCCTGAAGCATTCTTGCGGTGTGTGTGGGGGGCACTTGACTCCACTGCGGTCTTCGATTGGTTTCCTGCTGCTTGGCCGGCCCTCCTGCACAGGAGGGTTTCCTCAGGGCTCAGCCTTCTTTTGCCCTCAGTGGATCTCCCCCTTCTTCAGGCGGGATGGAGCCCACGACTGAAAACTATGCCACTGTATCTCTGAGCCCCTCATGTGGATCCAATTGCCCTGTGAGGTCTGTCTCACTAGGATGTCTCTGAGGCAGCCTAAAATTCAAGTCGCTATCACTTGTCACTGCATCTCATGGCATCTTTAGTTCCCTATCTCCGAAAAAGGTACCACTGACCACCCGCTGGCTGACACAGGAGGCTGGTCATCATCTCCGGTTCCTCCCCCTTCCCCACCCGTACATCCAGCAAGTCCCACTGAATCTGCCACCGTCTCTCCCCTGTTGCCCCATCACTCACGGACAGCAAGGCCTTTACCTTGGGCCACTGCCTCAGCCTCTGAGCTGCTAGAACGTCTCTCCACAGCCCGTGCTCGTTCCTAAGGATGCCGTGCCGCTGGACGCCATGCCACTGGCATTGCCCTGAGGAAACCCCCCTGTGCAGGAGGGTCAGCACAAGGGTTTCAGTGGTGCTTTCCGACCAAGACTGAGGAGGAGGAAGGGCCTGATGATCAACTTCCGGAAAACAAGCAAGCCAGTGAAAACCTGATGGCGAGGGGTAGAACAGCGTTTCATCCAACGCCCCAGCAATGGGCTCAACCAAGAGGGTGCAGTGCTAGAAAGCCCTTGGTTTTGTGAGTCAGGACCAACTTGATGGCACCCAACACGAGCAACAGTGCCAGTTAGAGTAATAATGAAGAGTATCCACATGACCTAAAACAGAAGTCCCAAATCCACAGCCTGTTGCTGGTGAGGACACTGGAGGAGAGGTGCAGCGAACGGTCCATGCATGGTGTGGGACAGGGCTAAATCCACTACGCAGGGTTGCAGAGATGAATGTGGCGCCTCGCAGGAGAATCGATGTGCTGAGGGAGGGCTGGGGACCGAAAGTCTCTCTACTTCCTGCATCTATCCCTGTGTGAGCCTGCGGCTCAGGTTCATGAGAGGAGGAGAATCCCCATTCGTGAGTGATCCCAGTGGTGCTTCCATGCACTGCTTGTTGGCCCAGGGCAGCCAAGCCACCTGAGCCAGGAGAGGGACTTTAACAGGCCCACTCCCTGAACCACCTCCAGGAACATCTGCCTCCAAAGCTCTTCTTATAAGCTGGGCCTTTTTTTGGCCTACCTGCACATGTCTCAATGTTCTTCTAGAATCAGAGGTCCATGGTTGACTCTGACTCATGGTGACCTTGTGTGCTAATGAATAAAGCCGTGCCCACTTCTGCACCATCCCTGGGATTGCAAGCATGTTCAAATCCATTGTTGTGGCTACCGTGCCAATCTATCTCATGGGAGGTGGGGTGGGGGCCTCCACTGACCCTCTACGTTACCAAACATGATGCCTTCCTTCAGCAATTGTTCCATCCTGATATTGTGTCCAACCTGAACACGGTGGATAGGGCTCTGCTGTGATCCATAAGGTTTTCATCAGCAAATCTTCGGACGAAAATTGTCAGGTCTTTCTTCCTACTCTGTTTAGTCTGGCAGTTCCCTGAAACCTGCTCCTCATGGGAAGCCCTGCTGGTTGTTGAAAGACCAGACACCCAGCTTTCAGCAACACACATGGCCACCCCGCTTGAAACTAATAGATGGATAGTGGACAAAGCTACCCACATAGTAACACTCTCTCATTTGCCCTGAATCATAATCATTGAATGAAACTCTAGATTTTGATATGGAAATGGCTAAGAGGGAAAGAAAACAATGCATTGATCGGGTAGGTCAATAGGAATCTGGACAAAGCAATGACAAACATCACAGAAGACAATTTGCTGTTGCCACAGAAGGCCATTGCTATTTTAACAAATGGCCACCAACTTAGTAGCTTAAGCCCACCCAAATTTACTGCTATGCTACATGCTTGGAGGTCAGAAGTACTAAGGGGATCTTTTTGTTAGAATCTAGGTGTGAACAGGGCTGGGCTCCTTCAGGGAGAATCCGTTTCTTTACCTTTTCAAGTATCCAGAGCAGGGGTGGGATACTTTTTTATTTGCCAAGGGTCATTTTTACATGTATAACATAATTTGTGGGTCATGGAAAATTATTAACTTAAAAAAACGAGCCTGCTATATTTGGTCAAACATTGAATTAACTCACTCCTAATGTGATGGCTGGAGCAGCTTCTCTTTGGTGAGGCCTATGGTGTTAGCTGGTAATCATAATTTCTCAGGCTTTATACGGCCTGTGGGCTGGGCGTCCCCCACCTGTTCAAGAGGCTGCCCACATTCCTTGACTTGTGGCCTCCCCAGTCCTTGCATCCTTCCAAACTCTGCTCGAATCATCACAGCTTCTTCTCTGACATTCCTGCTCCTCCTTTAAAAAATCATTTTACTGGGGGCTCTTCCAGCTCTTAGAACAAGCCATACATCCACTGTATCAAACACAGTTCCTGCTCCCTTTTATGCAGACTCGTGATGACAATGGACCCACCTGATAACCCAGGACAACCATCCCCTCTCGGGAGCCTCATGTGCACCTGGGAAGCTCCTTTTGCCATTGAAGTTCACATGGTCACAAGTTCCTGGGACTGGGTTAGGGCCATCATTCTTGAGGGGACCATTCCTACTACAATGGTTCAATCGGTCACATAAAAACTAGGTCTTAAGGTGACTTTGTCCATTTACAAGGGGGCTTCAAAAGGTTTCTGGAAAAATGGCATGAAAAGATAAAAGGATTTGCTATGAGACCTTTTGAACCCCCTCGTATTTACATTTCAGAACCTCGTTATTTTATCAGAAGGGCTCTGCCTCCTTTACCAAAGGATCTCAATAATAAGGACATCAGCCCAGTTTGCTTTGGGCTCACTGAACCGGTCCTTCTAAAATAAGTGTTGTAAACCCTCACCTCTATGCCTGTGGTTATAATACCATTGTCTTTTTGTTAATGCTGCAGGAAGTGGGCACGATGTGTTCTGAGCTAATCTTTTATAAGATACAAAAAGGACAGATTAAGGGATGGAGATGGGGGAAGACAGACGGCAAGCCACATGAAGGTCTCCAAGGAATCAGAGCACTGAGGAATCAGGCTGAGAAGACAAGGGCTTCCCACCATAAGGGAGGGAGGAGAGAGGAAAAGAGGAGAGGGGAGAAGAGGAGCTGGAGAGGGGAAAGGAAGAGAGAAACGTCCCCGGAGCTGGGACTGATTCAACAGCAGTGAGTGAGTGAGCTTCTTGTAAACTGTAAGAAAATTAATTTCTACTTGCTACAGCCATCTACTTGGTATTTGTGTGACAGCAGTACTAGATTACGAAGACAAGCCTAATGGTGAATTTGACAAAGTTTTCTGACACTTAACTACCAACAAGTATTTAAAAGACATACCATATTTACTTGCTTATAAAACACTAAGATTTTTTTTAGCAAGTAAGATGTTTAGCTCTAAGAAATGGTAGAGTCTTGGCTAATCTTCAGAAGTAGACCACAGGCTTTAAACCATTCCAGCCGTGGGTCATCTGTAAGCTTAGCCATTGAGCCAGTGGCCATGTGGGAAAATGATACGACAAGCTCCTGCCATAAAGATAAAAAATAAAGAATGAAAACAAATTGGCATTTGAGTCAATTCCAACTCAGAGCAACCCTACAGGACAGAGAACTGCCCCGTGGGGCTTACAAGGCTCGAATCTTTACAGAGCAGACAGTCGCCGCCTTCTCCCCCAGGGTGGCTGGTGGGTTTGAACTGCTGACTTTTTAGTTAGTGGCCAAGTGCTTTAATCACTGCGTCACCAGGGCACCTTTCCATAAAGATAACAGCCCGAGGAACCCCGTGGAGCTGTTCTACTCTGTCCTATAGGGATTTGTTGCTGGGCAGCAGTGAGTGGTCTCGGGGACAGTTTCATATTACTGAGGCCATCTATCGTGTGAAGTGGTCTCAACTGTTTTCTTGCCATGTTGTTATGCTTTCAGCATTACCACCACACACTGCTCAAGGAGTGACTCCAACACCCTCATCAGTCAGCCCTGTCTGGTGGTGAGGTTGGGCTCCCCATTGGGCTGCGAGCCACAAGGTCAGCAGTTCCAAGCCACCAGGTACACCTTGGGAGACAGATGAGGCTTTCTGCTCTGTAGATTTGCCAGCTTCGTGGTCCACCCTGTCCTATGGCGCCTCTAGGAGTTGGAATTCACCTGATGGCTATGAGTTGGTGTGTTTTGGTCTCTTCTACACCATTGGCACTTGCTTATCTTATATGCTGGTCTGATCAAATAATGATTTGTAAGCAAATGCTGTGAGAGCCTACGATGGGCTTGCGATGTGTGTGTGTGCCCGCCCTGCAAGCCAGGGTGGCCTCTGGGGAGGGATAGGGGCGGGCTGGGAGGCTTCACCACTTCTCCACCACCCTCTTTTAGTGGGAAGTATGCCAGTGTTCCGCCTCACACAGGTTCCAAATTCCACAGTTTTTCGTGTATTTAATGTCACCAGAAAGGGACCTCTTTAAACCGAATCCTTTAGTACTATTAATACTCCTTCCTCATATTTAAACTTTCCTTTTTTTTAAAAAAAAGTGATACACATCACATTTACACACACCCTGCAATAAACACCGGGTTGTCCCAAACAGACACCAGGCCATCAGCCGCGCGGAGCGAGCCGGGCGGGCAGAGACTTTCTTTCGGGGTGGGCAGGCGGGGCGAGCGCGGGCCCGGGCACTCACGGCTGCAGCAGGTTGTCCCGGTACCGGCGGCGCTGGCAGGGCAGGGCCCGCGGCTGGCTGGTGTAGGTGTAGGTGCCCATGGCCTGGCCGCTGAGGCGGGTCTTCGCGAGGAGCTCGGCCTTGAGGCAGGTGGGCGCTCCGGCGTCGAGGGAACCGGATGGGTGAAGGTGGCGCCAGGGGCAGAGGCTCCGCGCGGCACAAAGGGGTTACGAGGGGAGAGGCCGGCGGGACGGGAGGCTGCCAGGGTAGGCGCTGGGCGCGACAAGGGGCTCGCACGGAACCGCGCACAGCCAGCCCGGGGCGTTCCCCACGGTTGCCGGGCAACGCGGAACTCGGTCTAAGGGCGGGACTTCCGTGGAGTTCCGGTCAGATATGAGGCACTTCCGGCCCAAGTCAACTCGCGCCTGCGCCGTAGGAGCGAGTATGAGGCACTTCCGGCCCAAGCCTACGGCGCATGCGCGAGTGTGTCCCTAGGTCTCTGTCAGGGGAGGCGGTAGGGGGTGCTCGCGTCATCCTCCCGGACCCCGTGTTCCTGGGGGCCCCGACAGCCTGCGAGGTTTCTCTTGCCGCCACTGCTGCCGCCCGGTTGCACCCGAGCTGCCTTGCGACCACGCACCCCGGGCGCCAGCTCTGCTGCTTGCAGTTGGGGCAGGGCTTCCCGGGCTCCAGGGGCCTCCACGCTCCGCCTGGCGAGGGGTGGGGGAAACCTCTGGGCTCACAGATCTATAAGGGCCACCCCAGAGCCACTCTTCAAATATTGCATAATTAAAAAATCCAGAAAAGTTGTACGTCGGGGTTGTGCCCTCTCGCCATACTTACTTCACCTAGACGTTGATCAGCTAGCCCGAGAACCCAGACTGTATGAACAAGAACGCGGCCTCAGCATTGCAGGACCGGCTATCACAACAACCGGCTAAGCGCTTGCCGATGAAAACAGAAGGCTGCAGCCTTTGGCATGGATTGCAAGTCAATGGAAAAACCAATATCCTCACCATCGGACCGGTAGACAACATGATAAAAGGAGAAAAGACTGAAGTTGTCAGATACTTCATTTTGTTTGGATCCGCAATCAGTGTTCAGGGAAGCACAAATCAAATGCTGTACTGCTTTGGGCAAATCAGCTGCACAAGACCTCTTCAAAGTGTTGAAGAATAGCATTTCGAGGACTAAGAAATCCAGTCACAGGCACTCTCCATTCCTGCCTCCCCAGCCCCTGGCAACCCACAAAAATGTGCTTTTTGGTTTCTCTGTGTTTGCTGATTCTGAATATTTCATGAAATGGAATTATACATACAAGGGGGTCGGGGAGACTTCTCTGTTTAGCTTATTTCACTGGACACAATTCTGTCAAGGTTCTGTCTACTAACATTTTCCCAAACCTATTTGCCCTACCACCCTCTTTTCAGAAGAACAACTACCCACCATCTGCCCCTCTGGCAATGAAAACCGTTAGTACTGTAGCCCACAATCCAGGATAAATGGTCAGTGTCTGCTTTTGCAGTTGCCACCACCATCTTTCTAGCATCCCTTTTGGGGTAGTATCACCCACTTTTAGAAACATTGGCACTACAGTGTGTACATCGTTACGAATACCATTTCATGTATGGTTATATTTATCTGTCCACCTGATTGTTGTTAGTAGAAAAGCCTTCGTGAAAATCTCGAGGGAAGTACATTCAGAATGGAGGGTATAGCTTGATCAAAAGTCCACCACCTGACGTGGATTTGGAGAACGGTCATCAACCTGAGAAGAAATAAGCCAGAATGAATGCTTCTTAGAAAAGATGGCGAGGCTTGGGTTTGCTTACTTAGTATAGACACATCATCAGGAAAAGGCCAATCATTAGAACCAAAATCATGCTCGGTAAAGGGCCAGTGAAAACCAGGGGAATCCTCCATGACTGAGACTGGCTTTCTACCCCCGTGAACAGTTACAGTCTAGGAAACCTGCAGGGGATCGCTCTGAGACAGCATCGACTCCGTGACAGTGAGTTTGGTTTAGTCTAAGGTTTTTGGAGTGAGCAAAACGCCATGCCAATCATGTCATTTACTGAGATGTTGGCGACAGGTTGGGAAGAGTAGGGAGACAAGAGTTCTGTTTGGGACATGTTAGTTTTGTGATGCTATTTATGTCACATAAGAATGATATGAGTCCAGTTGGCAGGTTAGAGATAAGTGTGGAATTCCGTAGAAGAATAGGGCTGTAACTATATTTTGTTTCTTATGAGCCTCTAGGTGGTTTTAGAATCCCTGATAACTTAGTGTGTCATGAGTTGGGCTACTAATCACAAGGTTAGCAGTTCGAACCCACCAGCTACTCTGAGGGAGACCAATGAAACTTTCTGTTCTGTAAAGATTTACAGCCCCAGAAACAAAGGCAGTTCTACTCTGTCCATAGGGTCACCTTGAGTCAGAATTGACTCAATGACAGTGAGTTTAGTGTTTTGTTTTTTAACTAGATAACTAGATTATTTATCCAGTGTTGCTATGAACCACTACACCACCACCGGACTTGGAAACCAGCAGGGGGTCTCTGTGAGTTAACAATGGCTCGATGGCAGTGAGTGTGGTTTTCTGGTTTGGAGTGCTACTATAACAAATACCACAAATGGATGACCTTAAACAAACAAATTTACTACTGTGTAATTCTGGTATGACTAGAGAAACAAATTCAAGGACATGCATATGATGTGTAAGAGAGCTTTATATAAAAGAGCAATTGCATATTGAGAAAACATCCCAGCCCAGTCTAGGTCAAGTCATAAATCTGATGTTAGCCCGTATGTCCAATACTAGTCCATAAATTCCTCTTTAGATTCAAACAGCACGTACAATGATGCTGAATGCAGGAAGGTCACAGGACGGTGGCTGGAAAGTCTTGTGGATCCAGTGGTGGTGGAAGCATCTCAACGCTGTCTTGGGTCTCCATATGGCTCCTCCAGTTCTCAGAGTGTCTCCTCCATAGGAAAGTGAAGCAGAGAGAGAGATGTGGCTCACCTCCAGGGAGAAAGGAAGTTCCCAGAATCCTCATGAGAAGGCCATGCCCTCAAGGAGGCCTCATCAGGCTGTAACCTGATTGACAGGCTAGACTCCACCTCTACACTTATTTATCAAGTTGACATGAAATCATATAACGACCATAACTACCTCATACTTCAGGGGATAGAAGTCCGAATTCAGGGAGCTAGCTCTAGTGGGAGGCTGTCTCTGTCAACTCTGAGGAAAGATCTTGGTCTCCTGTCAACACCTGTGGCCCGGCCATCCCTTGTCCTGTGACCTTGGTCTCAGTCTTCTCCTGGGTCAAGGACTTCACTGCAGTGCTTCTAGATTCTAAGGGTGCAGTCCACTCCTGGCTCTTCTTGGTGGTATTGCAATCCCTCTCCTTTCTGTTCAGTTTGATCTCTTTTATGTCCCCAAAGTGATTGACTCAAGAGGCAACCTAATCCTTGGGTAAACCAGGTGTAATCATTTCCCTTCGGGGAAGAATGCTCATCATGACTTCTATAGAAGCAAGGGGACAATGTGCCTGGTACTCTGTTCTTATTGGACAATTTTGACCTAGTTTCTCTACAACCCTCAGTCACAGTGACTACTCAGATCATCGAAGGTCTGGGTGCCATAGGAGAGGTTGGTGAAGAAACACGGTGCTCAGATATCTGCATAGACTCCTGGGACTTTAGACTCTGTCCTTTTGAAGCACACAATGTCTTTCATAGGCCACACCAGAAGGACTTGATGTGGAAACCCCACTAAGTGAATTGGGCTTGACTTCAGTTGTAACAGGTTGAAGAAACTCAGGACTGAAGTCTCTTGGACTTAAGGCTGAGACATCCTAGTGTGAGAAGAGGCAGATGTCTGCTATCCCAAGCTTATGGGATTGGTGGTTGTTGGACTGTGGTTCAGCTTTCTTGCTTTGAGGGTGCCCAGTGCTTGGCGGCCTGGGACTACCATGTATTTCCCATTTTAATGCTCTACTTGCTTTCTTATGACATGTATTCATCTGAATGCATAGCTCTGCCTTTGTGAATGAGTGTTATTGAAAGCTTTGCCCTATAACAATTTCCACAGATCATGTAAATAGTGTCCAGTCACCTAAGTATTTAATCTGTACAGGCCAGCCTAAACCTATACAATTTCCTTTACTCAACAGTGTTTTGAATTCTATACCATTAGCTAATTTAATGACATTATCAATAGAATTACTTTATACCCCAGGGAGATGATTTAAATGTTCTCTAGCATAAAATGATAATGCTGTCTTTTAAGGGAACCAGAGACATATATAAGCCATAGCTAGATGAATGGATTTGGGGCTCCCTCTTACTTCTATCCCCAATCAAAGACAATTAGTTCTTATGACATGGCCCTACTCTATACTTGCCCTCCTGAAGAGATCACCAAGACACTGGTGTTTTAGTTAAGTTTTGTGAAGAAATAACATGGTTCCCAGCTATCAGAAAGAATAGCACTCAGGGTCTTAAAGGTTTGTCTTCAAACAAGCAGCCGTCTAAGTGAGGAGTCAACTAAGTCCACATGGAAGCAGCATACCAGCCTGTGTGACCCAAGGACTGTAATTGTAAAATCCAAATCTGAAGGAGGGAATGCTTTCAGAGATTAAATTCTGAACATTCGATTTGCAGAAGGCTATGGATGATAACAGATGCCCAAAACCCATTTGCAGGGTCTCCACATGGACTAAGCTTCCAGGGACTCCCCTCTGACCATGGTCCAGGGATACGAATAGCCTTGCTTTCAGTCAGAGAGCATGTAAAGTTGATTATGGCAGATGCGGTTAGATTAAAATGTAACAGCTTCTCATCTGATCTCCCTTTGGAATGGTTTTAAAGTTGTTTCAGTTTTTAAAAGTTTCTCCTTTCAATCATGGTTTTTCTGTTCTGTTTTGTCATTGCTGCTCATTACTTGATTTGCTTCCTATTTATGTTTTGTATGATTTTCTGTATATAAAATCCAGCAGAGAGAAATCTATAGACAGTTGCTGGGTTAATAATAACCAAGGGGCATGGCATGGAAGTTGGGGGGAGGTGGAGAGCTAACATCAACGAACACGAAAAGAAAATGTTCTAAAATAGCTTGTGGTGATGATTGCACAACTCTTCTTACTATGATTGAATGATTAAATTGTGAATTGCATGTCAATGTGTAAAACTATTTCAAACATAAAACTATTAAAAAAGCCCAACAAGCGAAGAAAGCTGATGGTGCCCGGCTATCAAAAGATATAGCATCTGGGGTCTTAAGGGCTTGAAGGTAAA